TTTTGGCAAATTGTGGATACGTTTCCATTACAATTTCTTACCTGCTTTCCAAAGTTACAGATTAGCAACCTTCCTCTGTGGCTATCCAAAAACTGACTGATTTAGGGGCTAATGTTCTCCGTTTCTCTCTCAAGGAGAGGAGACAGATCTAAATTAAAGCAAAACAATAAAATATCTAATCCCCACTCTCCTTGAGGCTGGAGAAGAGTGACTGAGAGGTGAGCAGGAGATAATCTGTTGCAAAATGGCTGAAGGGGGTCTGTGTTCCTTCCCAGGGTTACATTTTATAATCCCTGCCCCTGCCTGATGTATTGCAAAAGAACATCGTCAATATTCTTGCAAGAACAAGATTGCAAAAGAACACCATTAATTAACAGCACTAAGGTTCTAGAAGTCTCTCAAGGCCTGGCTGTTTCATCAGGCCTGGGGATCCCAGAGAACCGGTGACATTCTAAGATGGCTCCATCGCTGTGGTTAATATTCACTTTCTCCTGTGCCTTGTGGTTTATATATTTTAATAATCACTGTTTTATATTTTAAATAAGGATTGTTTTTATGCATTTATTGTTTTACTCAATTGGTGTATGCTGCCCAGAGTGACTTTTTGTGAGATGTGTGGCTATATAAAGTTGATAGATGACAGATAGATAGATAGATAGATAGATAGATAGATAGATAGATAGACAGACAGACAGACAGACAGACAGACAGACAGACATCCATCCATCCATCCATCCATCCATTACAGTACAACAATGATGCTACAGGAGCTTCAAAATACAGAAAGTGGCTAAAAGTGTTTAAGGAATGCATATTCATTTACGTATGTGTGTGTCGCACATTCTATTTCTCACTTTCTTTTCCACTTATTAAATACATTTTGATATATTTCAGCAACTGTCATTTTTTGCATAGCTATTTCTCTTCTTTTTTTAATCATTACAGCCCACCAGTTTATCCACTGGCAGCAGGTTACAAATATTATCTCCCGTCTCCAACAAACACACAGCAATGTTATCAAATAAATAAGCCAGCTCTATATTTTTGTTCCCCTTTTTTACTTTGGGAAGCTATGGGGCACGTCTGAAGGTCATGAGGGAAGTAATTTTCTTTCTGTCACGAGGCTTTTATTTTTGAACTGTTGATGTTGCAATTTTTATGTGATTGCTGAACAATATAGATTATTGCAGATCCCCTTCACCACTTCCTTGGTAAGGAAATGGGAATCATAGTGGTTTGGCCTGGGAAATTTAACAATTATATTCACAGACAGCATTGCCCAGATGAATGAGATGCATGGGGAGATCGCTTTCATTCCTTTGATAATGGACTTGTGGTTTTATATAGCTGCCCAGAGTAATTTTCTTTGGAAATACGGATAGGGTTAGGGAGGTCAAAGACACACACACGGACATGTCTGTTAAGAGCTGTTAGTCATGAAGACTCAGAATTATGTATCTCCAAATAATAGTTGCGGGGAAAACAATAGGATTGAATGTGTCTCCATCTTCTTCCCATGAGCAATGGTGACTGTGAGATACAATATTCTAGACTAAGGTGGACTTTGGCCCAATCCAGCATGATTATTCTTACACACTTATGAACCCTTTTATGGAAATAAAGTGTGAAGCTTATTTTTTTAGTTACACTGCTATCCTCCCCACGCTTTAAGCTTCCATTACACCTGCTCCTAATAGAAGACCTTAACATTCCCTAGTTTATTTTTCTAAGAGACCATCTGTTTGGAACATATCCAAACTTTTCACAGACACTATGTCAAATTTGAAGGCTGTCTGTATTTATGCCACTGGGAGACATAATATGATTCTGAAATGGAGAATCAGGATTCGGGGGGTGGGGGTGGGGGTTTACAAACTCAAACAATTCAGAACTCTCCAAACCAGGACAGGGGGTACATTCAACTTGAGCTAAACAGAGGGGTGTTAGTACGCCCAGTTCAAGCCAATAACTGCTGCCTCTTTAATTCTTGGACTCTGTCCAGGGTCCTGAAGTGTCCACAGACTTTCAGAAATCCTGAAGCTGACTGACCAGCTGATCACTCTCTCCTTGCTCTAGACCTCTAACCTCTGATTTACCAGTTCTGGGCTCTGCTTTACTAGGAAAATACACACTTTTAAAGAAGTTAACTATCGACTAACTCCATCCTACATAGCCTAATAGAAGTTTCCCCAACTTGCCACCCTCCATTTCTGTTTGTCTGGAACATGGATGGGCCATCTTTTGATGAGACGGAATCTACAAGCTGGGATTAAATCATGGCATCAGCTGGGGCAAAAAGACTCACAAAGGCTACTAAGTTTTAGATTTGGCCATCCCTGTAAGCTTGTTAGAATGACAGAATTGCGCTTCACAGAGATGGAGGAGGAGGAGGAGGAATAGGAGGGGAAGGAGGAGGAGAAATTTCAGACAGATTTTCTGATAGAACAGACTTCGTGGATGAGTCCTCTTCAGCAATTTGATGGCTTGCCACATGAGGGAGCAGCAGCAGCTTCTGAAGGATACCAACCCTACCGAGCAAGTCTTGTTATAAAAAGATGAAACCATCATAAATACAATCCAAATGAAACCAGACCCACAATCATTATGATAAAGGAGGATAGAAATGGTTAGTTATTGTTAGTTAGTTAGGATCTAGCTTCGATACTAGGGGACAGCCTGCAGTGTCACAGAAAAGATGAATGGTCTGAAAACTTCTTATTTTCTGATTTTCGTTTTAAAAAAATCCTTGCCATCTCTCATCATAAAGAAACTGATATTTATCTGCATAATACAGAGGTGGGTAGGGTGAGCAGAGATGGAAATGATTGTTCTTTTTTTCCTTTTCCTTGCCCCATCTGGCTTTGTTTTCTCTGCCATCTCTGCTCTTTTGTGTTGTTTTGGGGTTTTTGTATTGTTCCTTGTGTTTAATGTTTTTAACAACTACTAGTAGTATGCTTTATTGATTAGTCAATTGACCAGATCAAAGAATGTTTTTAACAATTTGTAAACCACCCAGAGTCACTGGGAGTTGGACGCATATAGATTTCATTACTGCTGCTTATTTTTCAAGCGACATAGGAAGAATTGGAGAGAGAGAGATTCTTGCTGTGCAAAACAAACAAACAACAAATTAGTCACAATTCCAAGTGAGCACAGGAATTACTTCTGATCCTGCTACCAATAGTTTAACTTTGGGCTATAACAGCACTTACAACTTGACATGTTTTCTTTGTGTTTTGAAATGTGCTGTTGGCAGAAACCATGTTGGCATGAATTCCCAGGTTCAACCCAAGAGGTCACCAAGCAGGACTAGATTCCTGTTTATAACTCTGGAGAATCACCACAGGTCAGGAGTGAGCTACTTCTGATCCTGGGATGTTCAGGGAGAGCCCTGCACTTATCAGGGTGTGAGAATGGAGGTAGCTCCTGGAACCCACATTCACCATGCTGCTGAAGTGTATGACCTATTAGAGTCAAGAAATAGGTTTAATCTCAGTTCTGCCAACACAGATGAGACCCTATCCACTTGGATTAATTGTGCCACCTACTAAGATTTTCAGACTCCCCCCTCCATTGAAAAGGATAGCCTCAGCTCTCAAAAGTTTGCCCACCACTGATTTCCCCCCTATAAATCTTGATACACCAGTGCTGTTATTGGTTGTGTTTGCATGTCACAATCCATCACTCGGCTATCACCCCAGGGGAATTACTTATCCCTATATGCCAAGAGCACATGATCACAGATATCTTAGTCAAACAGGGAAAAAGGGAAATTTTAGACCCTTCCTCCAACATAGATCAGGAACTGTCAACTGGTGGATGCAGGAAAAGTAAAACAGAGAGAGATGATAGATAGATAGATAGATAGATAGAGAGAGAGAGAGAGAGAGAGAGAGAGAGAATAAAATCAACTGGGATACAGTCAAAAGTGCTGGCATTTCCATTTTCAGCAAATTCACTTAAACATATTCTTAGGCTTCCCCCAGGAAGGATACAAGAACCAAAACCATCAAAATATCAAGACATTTTCCAATTGCTAAGGGTGGCTTTTTCTTTTGATTTGATGTGCCACTTGGTCAACTTCCTCTTTGCTTCATGTAAAAACACTTTACCTCAATAGTGTCTCCTTCAGGACTCAGCAGGAAAGAAAAGGACACAGTCTTGGGCCAGCTGAGTCACACTGATGTAACCATTCCCTTGAGTTACAAATGCCAACTTGTGGCCATTCTTTTATCAGCCACAAAAATGCCAATGACACAGTGAGACACACACAAATGGCACAGACCACACCAGATTCAGAGCTGTGAGGTAGACCTTTAGACCATTTGCATATTCAGTTCATCTGTTGGAGAATTTTTCTTCTCCTCCTGAAGATTCATGGTGTCAAGCATTGGAGAAA